TCGTACTTCTGAGGGCCCGGCACCAGAGTGGAGACCACATTCTTTCTTCTGGAAAGCCCACAAGTCCACACAGCCAGGGAGGAAGGATGGGTTACGGAACAGTGAGAGGACAGGCTGAGCCCAGAGAGAACCCTTCCTAAGAGCAGCTTCCTGCCAGGCAGGAGGGTTGCGTGGTCTTAGCATGCACAGTCGTGTCCGTGTCTACTTGGAGCCCCTTGCCCTCTACCCCCACCACCAGGACCACTGGCCTCACCTTTTACCACCTTTGCTAAGAGGAGCTCTGGACACCCCACTCAGGAAAGGGATAAGTGTCCACATGCGCAGGCCCTCCCCCTCCACTGGGCACCCCTTCCCTGATCACTCATCCCATCACCCTCCACCTATCTGCCCAGCTTAGGGGCCAAGAGTCTACTGGGTGTGGCCGCGGCTCATCCTGGCCTTCTCTGTGAAGGGCACCCCTCTGGCCTCTGGCCTCAAGGCTGGATGCAGGGACTGCGGCAAATAGCACTGTGCATCTTGCACCTGGCCCACACACCCTTATTCAATCCAGGTGGCAACCAGCCCACATGGAGCCCCAAGCAGCTATCAAAAGGGGAAGCAGAGTGATGATTTTTTTTTAAAGGGGACCCAGCAGGTGGGGAAGGTGAGTAGGGGGGAGAAGCGAGGCGGCCTTGTTGCCAGGCGATCAGGCCTGCTCTCGGCCTTTCCAGACTGTTTGCATATCAGTGAGCATCCCACATTGAGCACCAGTGCTTGGGTCCCCACTCCCTGCCTGCCCTCCAGCCTGCCCATCTCTGAGGGCTCGGCCTGGCTCTCCACTGACCAGCGGAGGCCCTGGGGGCTTTGGAAAGAGCAGAGTGGCCAGCCACTGCCACCCAAGCAGGAAAACCACGGGATGGGGTACCCTGTGTACCACCACACCTGGGAAGACCAGCCTCCCAGGCCAGCGCTGGGAAACTAGAGAGGTGAATGCCAAATCCCTGCCCTTAGGGAGGGGCGGTGAGGGTGTGTGCACAGCCCTGAAGCAACACCTGAGCAGGCAGCGTCCAGAGAGAACCTGGGGCCCTGCACAGTCACAGCCGTCAGTGGACAGAGGCCCATGAACACCCACAGACAAAAACAGGTGCGCACACATACCCATGGGGGTATGTGCCCCAGCACGCTCATTCCTGGACACACACCGTCTATACGCCTGGCCCTGGTCCCTATCTGCGCACACAGGGGCTGGGTCCTCGGGGACCCTTGGGGATCGTCGGGAGTCACCATGGCAGTCACATGGTGACTGGGTGACCCGGGGACTGGCAGCACATTAGTGCTCACCACACTGGAGGGAGGCCTTGGAGGCGGTGGCCCCCAAAGCAAGTGGTCCACCATGAATAATTCACTTCCTTCCAGAGCTCACCTGCAACCCATGAAACTGCCTGAAGCAGGAGGTGGGGGGCTCAGTGCCCATGGCGTGTCCCCAGAGCCAAGCTTGGTGAAGGGAAGCAGAGAAGGGAGAGGCAGAGCGGAGCTGCGGCTAGAACCTGTGGATGATAGAATGTTCACCCGGACAGTACCTTCAAGACTGCAAAGTCCAGAGGCTCCATTTGTGTATGAGAAAAGTGACGACTAGGGGAGATTCATTTCTGAAAAGGAATGAAGCAAAGAAACAAGAAAGGAGAAGTGAGATCAGAAAGGAATGAGGGGAAGAGAAACCCGAGGGTGCAGACCCCCCGCACCCCTCCGCATCCCGCCCTGCCCTTCAGATGCAGGGCTCCCTCCAGCCTTCTCCCTTGGCCCCCCGGCTCTCTCCCACCTTCCTCCCCTCAGTCATCCTGTAGTGGAGCTGGCAGACCCAGCCTTCCTCCCTGGGACACCTGCCACATGGGGTCTGGGGTCCCCCGTGAGCTGGGGGCCAAGGAGGTGCTGGGGCCTTCCACAGGGACAGAGAGGGTACTGGTGCTGGGGCACACGCCTTCCCCTCGCCCTCCTTTTGTTTAATGAACACATCTCCCTTTTTCTCTAATTAGGTGGAACAAACAACTTGAACCAGAATTTTTATTTCCCAGAAAAGCACACGCCCGGACCCAGTAAATATGTCATTAATCATCATTCCGCGGCGGAGGAGCACACTGGGTGCAGGGAGGAGGGAGAGCAGTCAGAGAGCCTAATTAGAGCTGGGGCCCCTCACTCCCCTCCCGCTGGCACCCACCTCCCAGAGCCCATCCATTGAAAGCTTTCCTGGCAGAGTCAAGCTTATGTAAATGTCCCTTGTTAGCACAACGGAACAGTAGAGGAGAAGAGAACAATACCGACCCGCTCTTCACCACCTCCCGCCTCTGCTCACCCTACCCAAAGTCTTAGTTTCAGCCAGGAAATTGTTCTTATTATCACTTGGCTATTTATAGACTCGGTGAGGTCTGCTGAGGAGCCCAAGCCGGGGTGGTAAAGCGGTGCCGGCTGCTGCTTCCTCACCGCCCGGGCTTAGGCTTGGGGTTCAACTTCACTCCTCTGCCCGATTTTGCCAGCCCCGGGACAGATCGAAGGCTCTCACCTGCTGTGCCACTGGTCCTGCCCCCTGCTTGCTGCATCTGGCCACATCACTCTCCTCCAGCCCCTCTGCCCAGGGCCGTGGCTGGCACCCTGAGTCCCAGGCCTGCAGCTGTACCGCGTGGCTCTCTAGAATGTCACAGTCTGGCTTTGCCTCCAGCAAGATGTGCTGTTCTAGATAGAGGCTCTGGCCCTGTTCTCCTGAGGCCATGAGGTTTGCCCCACGTTGAGAAAAACTGCACTGAATTAAGCACCCAGAATGTGGGGTTCCAGGCACCTACAGGTTTCTCCCTGTGGCCCTAACTGTTCCCACCTGTCCTGCCAAGAGCACGGTACCCACCCTCCAGCACCCCGGGAGCTGCGGCAGAGGCTGTGGCTCAGGGGTCACCCATTCTTAAGTGCAAATCCTAGCTCCACCCAGCAAGTTCCTGGCTCACCTGGAACTCAGGTTTCTCTTTGGCTAATCAAAGATAATGCTGCTCTCTTCCGGGCCCTCATAAGAATTAGAGACACTGCCATTGTCACTTTATGGGAGGTTTTGAGGGAGGAGTGGTCTGTTCATCTACTCCCTGGCTCCAGTCAGGGGGAAACAGGACTGCACTCGTAGTGAAGTCCCTTCCTGGTACCTCCTAGTACCAGAAGCCTTTGCATACTGACCAGACTCCAATCCCAATCTGGAAGTGCACCCCCCACACTCAGCACACCCTCCCCGGGGTGCACCTGACTTAGTGGGCCCCAAAGTGATGGGGAAGTAGCTGCAAAGAGAAACAGGAGAGGGAAGGAGGTAGCAGCCACAATGGGGAAGTAGCTTCGCAATGACATTGTGGCCCAGTAGAGTAAAGCAATGACCTGGGAAGATGGGAGACCAGCAGTTAAGATGGGTTTGCTTCCCAGGGCTGCCATTACAAAGCACCACAATTCGGTGCTTAACACAACAGAAATCAATTATCGCACAGTTGTAGAAGCCAACAAGTCTGGAATCATGGTGTCAGCAGGGCTATGCCCCTCCAAAGGCTCCAGGGGAAAATCCGTCCTTGCCTCTTCCAGCTCCTGGTGGCTCCTGGCATTGCTTGGCTTGTGGCAGCATCCCTCCAATCTCTGCCTCCAACTTCACCTGGCCTTCTCTGTGTCTCTCTGTCTTCTCCTCATCCCCCTCTTCTCCTCCTCCTCTTCTCTTTCTCCTTCTCTTTCTCTTTCTCTTTCTCCTTCTCCTTTTTCTTCTTCTTCTGAGGCAGGGTCTCACTCTGTGGCCCTGGCTGGAGTACAGTGGCACAACCTCGGCTCACTGCAGCCTCAACCTGCAGGGATCAAGTGATCCTCTCACCTTAGCCTCCCAAGTAGCTGGGACTACAGGCACGAGCCACCACGCCTGGCTAATTTTCTTTTTTAATTTTTTTCTTTCTGTTTTTCTTTTCTTTTTTTTTTTTTCTTTTTGTAGAGACACGGTCTTCCTATGTTGCCCAGGCTGGTCTCCAAGTCCTAGGCTCAAGCAATCCTCCCACCTCGGCCTCCCAAAGTGCTGGGATTACAGGCATGAGCCTCCATGCCCCGCAGATTGTCTTCTCTTCTTCCAAGGACACCAGTCATTGGATTTAAGGCTCACTCTGAATCCAGTATGACCTCATCTCAAGAGCCTTAACTAATTACTAATTGCTTGACTAAACTGCAAGGACCCTATTCCTAAATAAGGTCATATTCTGAGATTCCAGGTAGAAAATAATTTGGAGATGACACCATTCAACCTCCTGTAAGAGCCTAGTACTTATTTCAGGACCAACTCGAAGTGTAAGTTTGGTCAAACTCCACAGCCTCTGTCTAGCCCACCTATTTTCTCCCCTATCCAATGGGAGATGATGGTGTCTGTCCCACCTGTGGTTTGACTGAGGCTCTAATGAGATCAGGGAGTGAAACGCTTTGGAAAGTTGAAAGGATTTACATAGGCAAATAATCAAAAAGTTGATGTGCACTGATTCTGCCCATGTCCCCACCCACTCTGACTCCCATTCCCCAAACTGTGCCCCCTCTGCAGACTGTCCCTGCTCAGGGGCCACAGTCCCTGCTGGTTGCAAACCATCTCCTTGTGTCCTACAGAGCCTGAGACTCACTCAGGCACCAGAGGCAAAACAAATGAGAGTTCATTTCAACATGGGACCCCCCCAAGCCTGGTTTCCATGAAGCCTATCCTGATTTATTTCGTGCTTTTAGCATGTGAATCCAGGCTAATTTTCACATGATGGAAAACTGGCTAGTTCCTTTTTCCTTCCGCAGCCCAGCACTTACCCAGGCCAGGGAGCCAAGGGTAACCCCCGAGCTCTACATAGACATTGGCAGACCGGGTCTCCTGAGCTGAACCCCTCCATCCTCAGCTCCCCCTTCTGTCTAAGCTAGTGCTTGTTCACCCCCAACCCAGGCTGGCCACCCCAGCCAAATGACATGGAGCTTTCTCTCCCCTCTCCCCTTCTCCCAAGACTCTGCTTCGGGACGGCAAGCGGGAGAGCATCGTCAGCACCCTCTTCATTTCCCCTGGTGACGTGGAAAACGGCCAGAGCATTGTGTGCCGTGCCACCAACAAAGCCATCCCCGGAGGAAAGGAGACGTCGGTCACCATTGACATCCAGCGTGAGTACCCACCCCCTTCCCCAACCCAGCCCTGCCAGGCCCGGGGTGAAACACCCAGCAACCCTGCTTATAGCCTGGCCCATCTGATGGCAGGCAATGGGTCAGGCAGCTCTGTGGATCGGCAGCTTGTAGGTACGGACAGGAAGGACCATCTTGTCTTCCTTACTGTCATGAGATGCAACCTCATAGATGAGGATCTTTTGCAAAGGACATCTTCAGGCCACATTTCAACACCTGTACAAGGTGGGACTTTCACACCAATAAATACGGTCAGCTGCTGCCCCTGCTGGCCTAGCCAGTGGCCCCTCTGTTGGAGAGGAAGTCTGAGTGGAGATGCTGATATTTGAAGGGTCCTCAGGCTCCAGAATCGGCAAGCGTCGCTGTGCTCTGGAGAGGGTGCACCGGCCACTCTCATGGAAGGGTCGATCAAGGGGATATGAGGAAGGAAATCTACATGTATTATCTCATTTAATCTTTTGTTTTATTCTTTTGAGACAGAGTCTCGCTCTGTTGCCCAGGCTGGAGTGTAGTGGAGCAATCTCAGCTCACTGCAACCTCCGCTGCCGAGGTTCAAGCGATTCTCCTGCCTCAGCCTCCTGAATAGCTGGGATTACAGGCATCCATCACTACACCCAGCTAGTTTTTGTATCTTTAGTAGAGATAGGGTTTCACCCTGTTAAGCTGGTCTCGAACTCCTTACCTCAAGTGATCCTCCTGCCTTAGACTCCCAAAGTGCTGGGATTACAGGTGTAAGCCACCATGCCTGGCCTTATTTAATCTTTTCAACAACTGTTTGGAGAAGGTGTGACTGTGATCCCTACTGTGGGAAACTGAGGCACCAAAAGGGTGATTAACTTGCCCAAGGCCACTTAGGTTTCAAATGCAGGCAGCATAGCTTCCCAGAGCCCACCCTGGTATCGTCCTCTCCACACTCCTGCACAGCCAGCCCTCCGTGGACCGTGTTAGGATTGATATTGACAATTATGATGCTTTAGGGTTCCACCAGCATCACATCCCAAAAGCACCCAACAGAGACCCCTGAAGGTCTCCTAAAAGTCTCCCTAAGGTGCCCGCCAGCCCCAGAACCAAGAAGAGCTCAGCAAGGTGTTCCAGTGGCCTTCCTCTCAGGACTGGATTAGTTCAGTTTAAAGGGTCGGGACTCAAAAGTGGACTTCTGCCCTTCGAGATCCCCTCCCTGCCGCCAAGCGTAATGCCACTGCAAGCTGGTGGCTGCTTCTGGCTTGGTCTCTGAATTACAAGGCTGGAGCTGCAGGCTGGCATTCGTGTCCTCCTTAGCCTTTTATTCGTTTTAAAGCAAGTGCATTTAAAAACACTTCCTAACAGCCCTGATTCATCTAAGCCTTCTGGATTCTGGGCTCTGAGTGGCTCTCCAAGGACCTAGAGTCCAGAGATGGGGTTCAGGTCTTAGGGTTCTGAGAGCTCATCTTGGCAGCTAGAGAGCAGAAGTTCCCAGCCAGTGTCTAGAATCCCGACAGACACCATTTAGATTCCAGAGGGCAGAAGAAAGGGTTGAAAACCTCAGGTAGGCTCAAGGCACCCATACACAAAGGCTGAGTTCTTGAGGCAGGAGGGCACTTTATCTTCACTGTCTGGCCACTAGCTATTAACAAATATCTCTGTCCCCCCCAACAACCCCTGACACACCCCTGTACCAAGGAGCCTTCTTGCAGTCCTCATTCACAAGGATGCAGGGCAGCAGAGCTCTGGCCAAGCCTAGAGCTACGGTGATGGAACGAGGCCCCAGGGCACAAAATGCAAGGAAGGCTGGCCCTGAAAATTAAGGAGGCAAGGCTTCCTTAATCTCTGTCCCTCGGCTCTTCCCTCCACTGGCCCTGGCCCTGACCTGGGTCCTGGGTCTGAGCACCACCTCCCCCTGTGTGGTGAGCAGTCAGCATGGAGCAGTAAGCCCCACTGCTGGAAGAGGTGAGATGCTGCGAGGCCAGCAGTCCAGCGTCCAGGACGGCTCCACCACCCACAGGTGGGCTGGGCCCACGCCTCTCACATCACCCCTGGGGACTCTGGTTCCTTGTCTGATTTGGCCAAATGACATCCAAGGCCCCTTCTTGCCCTAGGACTGGCCATGGATCAGAGCTCTCTGTCCAGATGCAATCCAAATCAGGAAGGGGAGAGGGCGGGAGACACCGAGCATCCAGGCTCCCTACTTCCAGGCTGCCATTCGATTCACCGCCACCACCACCCCGCTCCCTTCTTCCCCAGCCCATCCCCAACCTGGTCAGGAGGCCTGTACAAAATGTTACAGACTCCTGTACAAAAGCAACAACCTAGCTGGCCCACCGTGACAGCAGCGTAGGTCCTGGCAGGGAGAGGTGGGAAGAAGCAGTGTTTCCTGCTCCAGGCCACCATCCGTTTACCCCAGGAGAACCTCTCCAGGCAGCGGGAAACTCGCCCTCCTAACCACAGCCCGCCCGGCCTTCTGCACTCAGGCCGACAGAGGATCATTCACCAGGGCACAGGTGACAGTCTGCATCTGGGAGGACACTGGGTCTTGCCAGGCCTCTGGGCCCTTTCTGGCTTCCTTTCCAAGGATCTCTCAGCCACCTTTGGAGGCATTGGAATGAGGTCAGAGTGACACTTGGAGCCCAGCAGCCCAGTTTCCCAGACCAGCCTCATCCAAGGCAGTACTGGGTAGTGGTGAAGGCCACAGCATTCTCCTGCTTTGAAATCTCTGCCACTTACTGAGAGGCACTGACCCGGTTAGTTAACCTCCTTGTGCCCCGGTTTCCTCCTCTGTACATGGAAGTAATCATGCTCACCTCCTAAGGTTGCAGGGAGGATTAAATGAAATCCTTCCTGTCAAGCCCCCTAGCGCAGTGTCCGACACATTGTGAATGCCCCACACCTATCAGCTGCTGTCAGGACGCAGAGCCAGAGGTGAGTGGCGCCCCCATCAGGTGTCCCCACAGCCCTAACAGGAAGGGATCTTCATCCATGTGTCCCCGCACTCACCACCCCTAGTCTGAAGGTGCTTATATATGCTTGCCAAGCAAAGCACACATTGTCCACCTGCTCCCTCCCTCCTTCCCCCTCCTCCTGCTTCAGCTCCTCCTCCATTTATTCATTTGTTCATTCAGTCAACATCCAACCGTTTACTAAGGACACCATGGGCTGCATCAGAGCTGCCTTTGCGAACCTGCTCATTTTCTCCGTCGACCAAGAAGCATCCAAACTCAGCAAAAGCACATTTGTTGTTTGTTTCTCTTGGTCTTCATATGTTACCCAACGGAAGACAAAGCTCTCAGATTGAGTAATGGGAGAGAAAGCTTAACACCCCCAAAGCCTCACCACATCTGGACTCTGTGTCCAGCTGCCAAGTTTCAAATGAATGTGCTATAAAATCACTGAGTCATGAAGATTCTCTCTTTTCCCACCCTCTCCTCCGTGTACTACTTCCTCTGAAAACACACACACACACGCACACACGGGTGGATAGAAACACTAACAGACTCTCAGCTGTAACATCTGTTCAATGTGATCTCAGTTCCACCAGCTACCTCAAAGCTGCCCTCCTGCAAGTTATGCTGCCGACATCACAAGTGGGATTAAAATCATGTTTAATAGTTGGATATGACATAAACTATTTATACCTCTGGAGCTTGGCAGACTCCTGAAAATTTATATTCTGTACACCAGCAGAAGTGGAGAGAGAAGCTTGGGCACCTCTGGTCTTGGGGTGGAGGTGCAGATAAGGCCAGTGAGTGTAGAACCCTTGTGAATCGCTTCAGGGCAGGTGATCACCAAAGACGATGCTAAGAGGAAGGGAAAGTGCAGGAGAGAGGCCTCACGGTGAGCTGATCATGGCAGGGGTGTGACGAGGCATCGGGCAGCAGGAAGGTCCTACAGCAGGTGTGTGCCCCACCTCCCTGCCTCTCAGACCTCATCACTTTAGAAAGGACTCCCAGGTGAGGGAAGGGCCTCCTGGAACAGCCCCCCAAGTTCTCTGATGGGTCCCTCGAGTCTATGGGACTGGCACTCACCTCTTCAAAACAGACTTGGGGTAGGTACTCACTTCCCAGCGTTGGCCTTCATAATGCGAGGGCATGGGCCAGCCATGCGTTTGGATCCAGGTGGCAGTTCCCAAGTGCCTCTGCCTCCGCTGCTTCTCCAGCCCATGGCGAACTGCAGGCTCCCCCCTGGGTGTCATGTTCGCTACATAGGGTCCCACGGACGCCCAGCTCAGCCAGTCAGCCTTGCACGGAAACAGGGCTGGGGCTCCTGATTCAGCCTTGCCCTGGAAGGTAGGGTGCAGCTTCGAGGAGAGGCCGGGGGTTGTCGGGGTAGGAGGAGAGTTCTTGTGGCTATTCCCTGTCACCCCATCTTTGTGACCACTCGAATTATGCCTTAAAACTGCGACTGAGATCACAGAAATACCCTCACTTCCCTTGTAATTCCCCACGAAAGGCAGGCAGGCCGGCCGCACCAGGAGCAGACGTGTCCTGGATTTGTGGTCCCCCGTCCGGAACTGGGGAAAATGTGGGAGAACAGGCTGCCCAGCACAGTCGCCCACCTGCTACTCAGAAAACAGAGCTCTCTTCCCAGTGCCGGCAGATACCAGTGCAACCCCTGGGGCCATCTCCCAGGCCAGCTCCTGTGCCTGGCACTCTTGGGCACCAGCAGGCAGAGGGCGGCTGAGCAGTTATGTGATCCCAGCTCCAGGATAAGGCCGGCTCGGTCTGCAGCTGAGAGGCTGAGTGTATGACTCTCTGAGGGTGTCAGGACCCCACCGTAGTCCCAACCAGAGCCCAGACCAACTGGGCCAGCTGGTCCCTTTGTGATGCCCCCATAGGGACCCAGAGAGACCAGCATTTTTCCTCATTGCCTCTGAGAAACTGGCTTCTTTACTTCTTCTTCTGGAAATGGGCTGGACCCCTAGAAGTCCTCGTGACTTTCCTGCAATTTGCTCTGCTTGTTGGTGGGGACTGACCCAGAAGATGCGGCCCAGGGCCCAGCCTGTCCATGGGGACCAGGTCCTGGGCTGCCCACTCAACTCAGCCAGACATCTGGGCCATGACAGGGAAGAAGGATGGGAACTGGCCCATCATCCCCCCTCCCTCGGTGTGTGGATGCCCCAGGGGTGCTGAGGCCTGGGGGCCACCAGGAGCCCAGGTGACACCAGGCTCTGGGGAGGGTCCAGAGCCAGCTGCCCCTGAGCTGGGCAGGGCCAGGCTGACGGAAGCCAGTCCCACCTCTCTGCCTCTCTACTGCAGCCCTCTCGAGCTGTTTCCATCTTTCTGTCCTGCAGTGTCTGCTCCTCCTTTTCCTCGTTGTTTCACTTGGTCTTTCTCTCTGACACCATCATTGTCCGGCCCTGTGTGCTGGGTCTCTGTGGCCTTTTCTGCTTTTAGTCTGAAATCCTTGTCTGACTCACAGTCTCTGCAAACAGGTCAGTCTCTCCGTCTCTCCGTCACTCTGCCCTCTGCTTCTCTAGATTTCTGTCTCTTTTTCTCACCCTTTCTCCGCACTTCTCAATTTCTATGTGTGTGTCTTTCTGTCTCTCAGCCTATGTCTCTCTCTGTCCCTGTCACTTCCTCATCTTTGTCTCTCTCTCTCTCTCTCTCTACACACAACACACACACGCATGCATACACACATGCACACATGCATACACACATATACACACACATGCACACACAGATACATACACACACACACACAATCTCTCTTCCTCTGTGGTCTCCATGTCTCTCCTCTGTGTACATGTCTCACTGTCAGCCTCCGGTCCCTTCTGTACAGATCTGTGTGTCTCTGTGTCTCTGGTTCCTGTCCCCCTGACTTTTTCTCTCTCTGACTTTCTGTCTCCTCCCCCTCCCACCATTTAGCACTTCAGAGCCTGGCTTCTTATCATGTCAAATGAGAAAGCAAGCCCCAGCCTGGGGAGCTGAGGCCGTGGGCCACCAGCCAGGACTGAGTGGAGATGATTAGGCTGATGAAAGGGTGTAAATGCCGCTTTCAAGTTAACAAATGCCCCAGAACCTTTACGGAAAAGAGATAATAAACAGACATTTCAAAGACAGTCTGCACTGAAGTGAGGCTGAGTGTCCACCCGCCCCTCTCTGCCCCGCACCCCTCTTCCCACTTCTCCTTCCTGGAGTATTTTGTTCTGTCCGAAAGTTGGAGGATGGGAAACCCCTGGACCCAAGGCTGAGGCTTCCTGGCTTGGGGTTCGTGTCAACACCAGGCCCCAAGTCCACGGGGGAGCCCTGATCCCACTTCCAGGACTGTCTGAAGCAGGCACCTCCCATGGAGCCCCCAACTTCCTGGAGACCACCAGGGTGGTGGCTGCTCTGAGGGTTCCTGGGTGGTGGAGTCTCTGGCTCTACCCTCCAAGTCACCCAGGATCTCCCTGCCCCCATTCTTTCTCGGGTCTACAAGTGACTGTCCTCTCCCTGCAGACCCCCCACTGGTCAACCTCTCGGTGGAGCCACAGCCAGTGCTGGAGGACAACGTCGTGACTTTCCACTGCTCTGCAAAGGCCAACCCAGCTGTCACCCAGTACAGGTGAGAGTCACTGCTGAGGAGGCCCGGCCTGGCCACTGGCCCCCACCCCTATGCCTCTCAGGTGGGATGTCACTTAGGGTCCTTAGCATGGCCGCAGTGTGTGCCTGGTCCACATCACGTGTCCAGTAGCCTTCTTCCCTTCCCCTTGCACCCGGCTGCCTGGTGGCCGGGTGGACCCTTCCTCTCCTCTGTGCATGCACGTGCCCTCTTCCACTGGAGGAAGCAGGACTCACGCCTTCTGCTTGAATAGCCTGTTTATCCCACACTCCGAACGTGGGAAAGGCTCAGGAGAAAAAAAAAAAAAAAAAAAAAAAAAAAAAGAACAACCAGGAGAAGCAGCAAGATCAGAACCTCCGTTCTAGTCTTGTGCCCATCAAACTGGTTCACCTGGGTGGGTCAGGATGTCTGGGCCCCAGCCCGGTCCAGTGAGCATCAGGGATCACACATGCTCATGGCCCCTGTGTGTCTCTTGCTCACAACATGGATAAAAGCATCACTGTTTGGTTTTTTTTGGTTTTTTTGTGTGTGTGTTTTTGTTTTTGTTTTGAGACGGAGTCTCACTCTGTCGCCCAGGCTGGAGCACAGTGACATGATCTCGGTTCACTGCAAGCTCTCCCTCCTGGGTTCACGCCATTCTCCTGCCTCAGGCTCCCGAGTAGCTGTGACTACAGGCGCCCGCCACCGCGCCCGGCTAATTTTTTTTTTTTTTTTTTTGTATTTTTAGTAGAGACAGGGTTTCACC